AAAAAAAGCAAAATTGGAATTATAAACACAAATTGAGCGACACCTTATAAGACAGTTGTGCCTGTATGCTTCAGAAACGGGAAGCTCATGAAGATAAAGACAGAACCGTTCCAGATTAAAAATACGCTCAAGGGACGTGACAATGACGTGTGACTCGCGATGTCGGATTCGATCCTGCACTTGGCAAGAAAGCAGCTGGAAGACATTTTCGGGACAATTGATGATACTAGTGTATCAATATTGAGTTTCTTGTTTCTAGTAACTGTCCTGAAGTTACCTAAGAGAACATCCTTGTTCTTAGGAAACACAACAGGGAGGTGTTCAGGAATAACGGGATTTCTGTCAGATGGCTCAGAAAACACAGGGAGAGAGAGAGAGAAAAGAAATGACAGAGCAAATGGTGGAGGTGTACACAATTGTTGAGTCTGGGTAAAAGGTAACTAGGAGTTCTTTGTTCTGCAACTTTCAGTAAGTTCAAGATGGTTTCAAAATGAAAAAAAAAAAAAAAGCTACCCATAAGGTTTAAGTTTTTTGTTTTAGGTTAGGGAGACAGGATAATACATATAAAACCAGTGAGGCATTTGGAAGATGCTCCCCGTAAGGAGGAGCGGAAAAGAGGAGAGATACAGTCCTGCGATATCACCAAGGGCTTTAATTGGAAACAGCTCCCTCCACAGTGGCTTTTTCAGGAGCTGGAGTGACTCCTGCTGGTGGCACAGGGGTGGCTCAGACGTCTTCTCCTCCCGGGGGAGTTTCTGAATCCGTCTTCATGGCCCCTGCTCACTGCCTCTTCCTTCCGGAGACAGCCCAGCGGCCCGCAGCCTGGGAGGCCGGCATGGGAGCGGCAGTCTAGAATGCTCAGGGCCTCCCGATGTGACACGGCTGGAATGGCCAGCGGTCCCGGGAGTAGCGGTTTAGGTTTCTCTTGCAGAAACCTCTTTGGGAGACGTGTGTATTCAGTTCTGCAAGCAGAAAGGAACCGGTTACGATGCCGGGTGGAACCTTCGCACTGGGCTTGGATGCACCGCCCCAGTCACCTCCATCCCTGATCATGGTGGGGTCCTGGAATACCGTGTGAGCCACGTGGACCCCCAGGCCGGACTCGCAAGTCCTTGGTGGCAGGGCCATGCCAGTAGGTTCTGCGTTTGTAATTCATTGGTGTGTTCAGTGATGGTCGGGGGCCTTGCACAGAGCAGAGGCCTGGAAGGTAAGAGGGTCGGGCCCAATCTGCTTCTAACACTAACCTTACTTCCTGGGTGGACTTTGGGAAAGTCCCTTTCCCCTGTGAGCCTCAGTTTTCTCTATACAATGAGAGGTGGCTTATTTTTTCAAAATTTTTTTAATGTTTATTTTTGAGAGAGAGAGGAAGTGAGCACATGAGCAGGGGAGGGGCAGAGAGAGAGGGACAGAGGATCCAAAGCAGACTCCAAGCTGTCAGCACAGAGCCCGACACGGGGCTTGAACTCATGAACTGTGAGATCATGACCTGAGCCGAAGTCAGATGCTCAACCAACTAGGCCACCCAGGTGCCCCAAGAGAGGTGGGTTTTTAAACTGTGTTCCATGGAGCCCCGTGGGGGTTGGGAGGTGAGAGGGAGCAGGGTGGTGGAGCTAGTGGGGCTCCCGGGCCTGACCCTCGATTCAAGTGCAGCGGGAGCCCTTCTGTCTTTTATAACAATGGGACTTTGTGTGAGACTTTGTTTGCAAGGACGGTGTAGCTGTTTTTGCGAATCCTGAAATGCGGGGGCTGGGCTGGTCCTTAGCTCTTAGCAGCAGCCTCAGAGGGTGCTTGTGAGCTAAGTGACATCACCTGGGCAGTGTGGGTGCCCAGCAATGTGGCGACGTCTCTTCTTCCTGGACTGGACTTCTATCCTTCTTCCATGACCCTGAGGCGTTTCACCCCCAACTATACTCAGCCCACAAGCATTTTCTGGCCTTGTTTACTTGCCATGCACCTTGTGGGGTTTGGGGGAACACAGCTGTCCTCCTGGGACTTACAGTCTAGTGGCCAAAGCAGACACAAAAGCAACAGCCACACAAAATAGACGTGTAAGATAAGACCCCAAGGGCTTAGAAGAGAAGCGTGGATGTGTGCTCTTTCCTCCCAGACCTATTGCTCCTCACGTAATTCCTAGCAGACTCCTGGAATTGCTCCAGTGTGTTCTAGAATGACCGAAGCTTCCTGGAGGGCGTGGTCCTCTCTCTCCTATCACCACACTTAGTTTAGCTCAAAGATCAATGGGGCTTGGTCATCAGGACAATGGGGTTCCTGGTCAGTGTTAGGACCCCAATGTGGAACTCACCTTCATACTCATTGTTGCTGGTGGTGGAGGCTCTCTTTTCTGGGTGGATCAGAGGTTGTCCCAAAGGCGAGTGGGAGGCTTCGTTAGCATGCTTCGAATTCTTGCTGTCCAGCCCCTCCTTCTGCAAACCTGGCAGTGATAATTCCACACAGTCAGGTGGGGAGGCTCAGGGGAGGTGATGGAAGTGAAGGTACGTTGCCAACCTTGAGTCAGTGCACGAGAGCCAGTGGTGGCTGTCATGGGGGCGGGGACCACCTGGATCTCCCTCCTCCAGCCTTCCGAGTGCTCCCCCTAAGCACATGCTGGGTTCAAACTATGTATTCTTTTTAAAACACAAAGTTTACCTCCCCCCACCCTGTTTATAAATGCTGATGCATATCCATTATAGAAAAGCTAGGAAAGATTGAAGAATGTGAAGTAGAAATAGAAATGATCCAAACTCCTGGCCCCTCAGATGCAATCACAGTTCCGGTCTTTTCTCACACATACTTTTACACAGTCCATCATATCTTACATGTCATGTATGCATTTTCCTTTTTTCATACACGTTATGTCATAAACATTCTTCTCAGGCCACTAAATTTTAACAAATGATGGTTGTATAATATTCTATTTTGCAGATAATTCAAGAGTTATTTAATCAATATTCTATTGTTGGGTGTTTAAATTGTTTTTCACTACTATAAATACTATTATGGTGAACATTGTTGTATATAAGGCTTTGTTTTTATATAATTCTAAATTCTTTTTTTTAATGTTTATTTTGAGAGAGAGCACACGCTTGAGAGTGGGGGGAGGAGCAAGAGAAAGAGGGAGAGAGAGAATCCCAAGCAGGCTTGATGCACATCGCAGAGCCTCATATGGGTTTCGATCTCAAGAACCATGAGATCATGACCTGAGCTAAAATCGAGTTGGACACTTAACCAACTGAGCCACCCAGGCGCCCCATAATTCTAAATTCTTAAAGGTATAGCATAGGAGTCTGTCAACAGACTGAACTGTGTTCTGTAATAAATACCTGTGTCCTTTGCTAGCTGCACAAGTACAGCAAACTGCTCCCCTCCCATGCCTCTGTTCTCAGAGCTACAAAATGACACATCCATTTTGGATAATCATGTCCCCTTCTTAGAGTTCTGGTAGGGATCAGATAATATCGCTTTTCTCCAGTGTCAGCTCTGATATAGTAGGGGACTTATCTGATCACAGTGGGCTCCCTAGTGCCTAGACAGTGCTTTGTAAGTAAGAAGGTCTCAGTCATTACCATTATTATTATTAAAAAATTTTTTTAATGTTTATTTATTTTTGAGAGAGAGAGAGGGAGAATGAATGGGGGAGGGGCAGAGAGAGAGAGGGAAACACAGAATCAGAAGCAGGCTTCAGGCCCCAAACTGTCAGCACAGTGCCTGACACAGGGCTCGAACCCACGACCCACAAGATCATGACCTGAGCCGAAGCTGGATGCCCAACAGATTCAGCCACCCAGGCGCCCCACCATTATTATTATCTTGGAAAAATGGATTGACATTTTTAAGGTCCTCAGTTTTTATTGTGAAATTATTTCCTGGGGGAGTATTTTAAAGACCCTCACCATGGATTTTCTGGAAGAATATGCCATGAGAATTTTTCTCATGCTGTTAAACTGCTCCATTTCCTGATGGGACCGTGACAGACACCTGACCGGCCTCCCTGCCTATTGTTTATTGGTTTGAGTTAGGAAACCACCCAGTTCCCACTTAATTTTAGGTTGGAATTATCACTCAAAGGCTGAAGGAAACCTGAGGGTATCACAGCAGAAGGGGGATGAAAAAAACTGAGGTCTAGAGAGGCTGGACGGTGTGTCCTTGTCTGGTACCTACTGCAGGTGGATGGCTGCTGATCCTGGGGTTCACTGGGGGCCTTGGGGTCATCCATGGCCCGGGGGTCCTCACAGTCTCTGCAGCACAAACAGAAGATCTTCGAAGCCAAGTTTTGGTGGGCTGCTGTAAGAGGTGAAGGAATGGGGGCCATGGTTTCTGGGATCTGAACTCCAGATGCCCACTGGAAATTCACTGTGATGGGGGTCATTACTGGGTCAACCTCTCCCAAGATATAATAGCCTTCCTCCCTCCCAAATCTTGCATAGCTCCCCATGGCCAGCAGATCCAGGCCCTTCTGCCTAGGCTGTCCTCTTTTAAAATTATTTTTCCCATTCTATGCAAAATTTCCTTACCCATGGAGAAGAGTTGAAGCCTTTACTCTGCCAGCTTCGCCTGTAGGGGCGCCTTGTTGAGTCAGCTAACCTTGAATTTGAACCCAGTTCCCTGGGCAGGGCTGTTTCCTAAATAAACATAAGACTGTGGTTGAAAAATGCTAGTCCTTTATCTGTGCTCACACTCTAGATAGGATCCCCCTACCGTAACATCCAGGCTCACGCACACGAGCATCCAGTTTTTAGGTTGATCCATGTTCAACCCCAGTTCTGGGTGCATTCTCTTGGGTAGATTCCTTAACTTTCTTGAACCTCAATTTTTTCATGGAGAAAATGGGAGTGCAGTGCCTACTTGCAGAAAAAGTAAAGGACTAAGTATATGAAAAGTCACAATAAGTGTGCAGTCAATGATCGTTCCATTTCCCTTCCCTTTATGTGGCTCACTGGCTCCAAAATACTCCAGTTGGCCCAGGTCCCAGGGGAACATGGCAATGAAGCACAGTCTTGCAGGTTTAGGTCCTGGTCCTGCCACCAACTTGCTCACTGGCTGTGGCTAAGTCCACGTGTGTCTCTGCATTTCAGGAGCCCCATCAATAATAACAGGAAGTTAGGCTAGATGATATCTTCAAGGATCTTTCTAGTTCTGATGGTCCAGAATTATAAAACCTTGCTTTAGTCACCAATTCCTTTGTCTCTGAATGCTTCCAGTTCTCACTTGCCTTTCTGTGGCAAGACCCCCTTTTAGGAAATTCTTTTTTCAACATTGCTACCAGATCTTTCTTTCTTTCTTTCTTTCTTTCTTTCTTTCTTTCTTTCTTTCTTTCTTTCTTTCCTTTCTTTCATTCAAAAATTTTTTTTCAACATTTATTTATTTTTGAGAAACAGAGACAGAGCATGAGCAGGGGAGGGACAGAGAGAGAGGGAGACCCAGAACTTGAAGCAGGCTCCAGCTGTCAGCACAGAGCCCAACGCGGGGCTCGAATCCACAAACTGCGAGATCAAGACCTGAGCTGAAGTCAGACGCCAAACAAAATGAGCTGCCCAGGCGCCCCCAAGGAAATTCTTATCATGGTATCGGCTGATGTCCCTCACAAGCCAAATCTCTATGTGAGCTGCCACACTTATGAGTGTTTGCTTCTCACTCTCTCTACTGCTGTCCCCTGGCCCAAGCCACCATTATGTCTTGCGTAAAGCAGAACAACAGCCTCCTAAGTGATGTCTTTGTTTCTTTTACCCTGGACCCCTTCAATTAATACAAAATCTTTAACTTCTGGCATGTACTGTATTTGATACAGCACAATTTATATATTGTGGTTAGATACATCCAGCAGCCTAGACACATACAAATATCTCCATTTTGTGGGATCCTTGGACCAAAGTAGTACTCCTTGGGGCCATTTAGCCCCCATCTCTAATAGCCTTTTGGATTTTCTGCCCAGTGAGTTTTTCCACATGATTTGAGCTCTGATATATTTCCTTGAGCTCTCTTTAATTAATTTATTGTATCTTCTTAGGATTTATGAACAGATAGAAATTTACAAATCAAAACCACACTAAGATACCACCTCCCACTGGTCAGAGTGGCTAAAATGAACTAATCAGGAAACTACAGATGTTGGCAAGGATGTGGAGAAAGGGGAACCCTCTTGCACTGTCGGTAGGAATGCAAACTGGTGCAGCCGCTCTGGAAAAGCGTGGAGTTTTCTCAAAAAATTGGAAATAGAATTACTCTATGACACAGCAATAGCACTACTAGGAATTTATCCAAAGGATACAGGAATGCTGATTCAAAGGGGCCCATGGACCCCAATGTTTATGGCAGTGTTATCAACAATAACCAAAATATGGGAAGAGCCCAAATGTCCATCTACTGATGAATGGATTAATATGATGTGGTATATGTACACAATTGAGTATTACTCAGCGATGAAAAAGAATGAAATCTTGCCATTTGCAACAACGTGGATGGAACTGGAGGGTATTATGGTAAGTGAAATAAGTCAATCAGAGAAAGACAGGTATCATATGTTTTCACTCATATGTGGAATTTGAGAAACTTAACGGAAGACCATGGGGAAGGGAAGGAAAAATAAGATACAAACAGGGAGGCAAACCATAAGACACTCTTAAATACAGAGAACAAAATGAGGGTTGATGGGGATGGGGAGCTGGGGGATGGGGAAAATGGGTGATGGGCATTGAGGAGGTCCCTTGCTGGGATGAGCACTGAGTGTTGTATGTAACTGATGAATCATGGGAATCAACTCCTGAAGCCAAGACTACACTGTATGTTAGCTAACTTGACAATAAATTTTTTAAAAAGAGAGATTTATTTAAGGCAATTAGGTATTTTGTTTAGGAGATGCGCCATTTAGCAAGTATGCTTGCCATTAATATACTTATTCTTCTGCTGTTTGCTTTCGTTTCAATTTCCTTCATATAAATTCTTGCCTCGTGGGGTTTTGCTTTGTTCCAGATTGCCTCATGTATGTTGAATGTAGAGGGAGGTGTTTCCTAAGGAAGGAGTGAAAGCAGAGGTGTGGCAAGCGCTCACCACAACCCTCAGCCCCAAGGACTAACGGTTGGAGGTCTGTTAGGTGGTGATCAATTTGTGTGAGGGTGATTGCTAAGCCTCTGCCTCGGGTCCCTCCAAACCTTCACGAGCACATGTTCTGTCTTGTTAACCTAATGAAAGTAGCTAATGTCACTTTACTCAGCCTATATTCAGGAGTCAGTGACTTCCAGGTTGGTGATCAGATGGCCTCTTTTAGGCTCTGTGAGGCCACAGAATTCAAGACACCATGTATAACTGTGGTCAACTGTAATGTGATCTCTGCTGTTTGTCATGGTCTTATCTACCTTAAAGTTGCTGCCTTTTCCTGAAAACAAAACAAAACAAAACAAAACAAAACAAAAACAAAACAAAACAACAACTCCTGCTTCACATATATACCCTCAATACATGTACTTTCATGTGTGTTAACGTTTATGTTAATAGCTGGGAAAGTTTAACCAGATGACTTGGAATTATGGGCACTAAGGGAAACCTTTCATGTCAAAAGTATGAGATTTAAGAGGGACTCTAGAGAAGAGAGAAGACAAAAATACCACATTTTCAGTAGAGAGCGTCTTTGATTGGTATGTTCTGGCCTCAGAAAGAAAGAAAGAAGGGGAAAAAAAGGACGTACTCCTACTCAAACCTTCTGAAACCTGCTTTCTTTACATCTCTTTCTCTCTCTCCACCCAGCTTTATCGTTACCACCTACTTACACTCTTTCTATTCCTTCCCGTGACTGCTTAAATAAATTCCCTTCATTTCTGTAGAAAAGAACAATCAACACTGCACAATATCCCCTGAAAACTCCTGTACCAGGAGGTGGGTCCAGAGAGGTTGAGTTCAAACCCTGCATGAGAGTTGAGCTGAGGGTGAATATATAGGATCACCCCAAATTTCAGAATGACAGAAAGCTGCTGTATAACTCAGGATTCTGCTAGTTATCCTGCTACTTATTGACTCCTGTGTCTGTACCAGTCAGTTCACTTAATGGTTGACCTTCAGCGATGGGGAAAAATGTTTAAGAGCAGCAGGATGGAAAAGACCAGAAGATTTAAATAACCCACCTACACAGAATTCAAAAAAGTGGACTTGAGAAGAAAAATAGAAAAGGTACCACATAAAACTATTTCAAAAATCTTTTCCCCAAGGGTAGATCGGGCAGAGATCCAAAATTGCAAACAAAATCAAGATGAATTACCAGGAGACTTTAATGGACTTCAGGACACTTTCAAAGAACATTCTAGGGCGACCAACAGCTTAAGTAAAGGAGCCTTTTCTTCTCTCTTTGCGAAAGGCTCAGACTTGAAATAGAGGACTTAGATAAAATAAATTAGGAGGTGAAATGCCAACTTAGATCTCCTGATCATTTTCAAAGAGTCCTAAAAAATCAGCCAGAAATGGCCTTTTGGAGAAAACAACTGACTTCTAAAATAAAAACTAGGTCAAAATTCCTCTGTCCATAACGAACGTGGAGCCTGTTGATAAGGACCCTCGTATTTACGGTAAGCAGGAACCCATTGGAGGAATTCATGTTCCATAATGGTAGGAGGACAGCTCTCCAAGTCTGTCCAGTGATGCCACTTTGAGGAGACCTTAACACTCAATACATTCTTATCCTTCCTCTAAATTCTCAAGGGGAATTGTTGATAACTACAGACAGACAACAATACCACTGGTTGACATGATTTGTTTCGTATGTGGAAACCAGATTCTTCCACTCCAACTAGAACTGAGACTATTCTGGGTGATGAAGAGTTGACCATTCCAAGTTTACAACTCCCAACGCCCTCAGCAGACTGTGTTGTCTTACACAACACTGGAAACAAGAAAAACTTGGATGGGGCTATCAATACCAATAGATGGGCCTATTCTGAGGACAGTGAGGTCTCTGTACGGGCTGGACAACTCAAGGTGCTCATTTTCTCTCATCTTGGCTGACATAGTAAATTTAATAATACAGCCCACGCGATGGAACACCAACCAACCAATCAAAATTCCTTAGCTCAAGTAATTGTGGGTGATAGAACACCTTTGGATTTTATTTTGGCTAATCAGGGAGAGCATGCACCTTTGCTAGCTCCTCATGGTGTACCTGGATTAATACCACAGGCGAGGTTTCTAAGCCCAAAGAAAGGCAACCTGACTATCTAAAGCAGACACAGAGAATGATTTGGAATTTCTTTTCTCGGTCACGCCTAGGAAATTGTGGATGATGATTCTGGAATGCCTTCCAGATCCTTCTTTTAATTGATCTAATGATTTAATCTAAAACTTAAAATCTTTTAATGATTGTTGTTTGCCTCACAGTCATTTACTGGCTGCTGTCCAGAGAGTCAAATGATTTTATGCGGCCACTGGCCCAACATAGAGCTCCACGGATGATTC